TCTTGAAAGAATGATGTCAGCCAAGGGATGTTAAAGTCCATCAGGGAGAGCTGTAACACCACGTGGAATGGCAGGGTCAAAGGGAGGGAAATTATAAGTGGGGAGATGTGCCCAGGGATTTATCTGCATACCATATTCAGATACAACTTAAATTCTTTACAGGGGACTATAATGTTTTTCTTTTTTAGACCATCCTTGAAATGCTGGATTAGAAAAAGGATTAAGTGAGAGACAAGGTAGCATATGAGGTTTTTGGAACAAATGGCTAATATCTTTATGCTGTATAAATGTGTGATGAAAAGTATAGTATTAACTGAGTGATTTTGGTCAAATCACCTAAACCATCTGAGACAGTGTCTCCAGCAATAACATGGGAATAATAACAATCTCTAAGACAAGTATAGCAAATTGACTAACTGTACAATTTAGGTGGTAGGTATATTACTGGAGAATTGTTTTTAACTTCCCTGCAAGTTTGAAATCTTCGTAATAAAATGTTGAAAAAAAATAGTTTTCCTACCCTCAGAGTTCTGCTAAGGTTGAAACAACATAAGTTAGGATACAGTAGATGTATCCAAATAGCAGAAGCTCAGTCAGAACAGTGGTTACTTTTTGAGTCCCTTAGCAGTTTTACAAATTATGTTGTAAGTATATAAATACAAATAAATAGTTCTATGATACCAGAATGCTGGGCTCAATTCCCCTTCATCATATGAAGTACAGAGTTTTGAGGAAAAGGAAAGTAGTTTCATCGGTTTGCTGAAAAATGAGTAGAGTAGAATCCGAGAAGCTACCATCCTGCTTCCCAGAAGAGTGTAAGAGTGTATTTTTTTTTTTTAAAGATTTATTTATTGTGCGTACAGAACTTGGGTACAGGCCAGAGTTGCAAGGGCGGTGAGAGGATTCACCAGAGACAGAGTGGGGAGCAGAAACAGGCCGACTGTCAAAATACACTGCTGAGGGGAGCAGTGGGTGGGTCAGGAAAGGTCCGCCATGTCACGTAGGTCACCACCAGGGTCGGGAATCAAACTCATGCTGAGTTTGGCCTTGGCTTCTTAGTGCTGTGCTTTAACCCACTGAGCCACCATGGAGGGCCCCCCAGTATACTGCATTTAACTAGAGTGACAACGACATGAAAGAGGGGTGTGAGTTAGGGTCAATTCACCTATTTTTGTATCTTGAGTGTCTGGTAACTTGGCTGACATCAGTTTGTTTTCGTCACTATCTGGTTGTCTGCAATTCTGACAGTGTCTTTTGAAGATTCTGTCTTTGGCTTTGTTTTGAAGTTTCTTTGCAGGAGTTCCCTTAGCCCTCAGAATGCAAAAAACAAACAGAAAACCCACACCAGGATGTTAGTTAAAGGTGTAAATCAAATTTTGTCAGACTTAGGTAACAGAGTGTCTCTTTTCATAGCAGAGAGGGATATGTATTTTGTTGCTGGAAGTATACAGAAGATAATAGCAACATTGGTGGCCTCCAATACAGGGAGACCTTTGTGGCAGAGATAAGTAGAAGGGAGACTTTTTATTGAATTCCTTTTTGTAAGTATAGGGAATATCAGATCACTGTATGTGTCACCTAACCAAAACCAAAAGGTAATAAATAAGTAAAACCAAAAACACGAAGTTCGTACAATCTAATAGTCCAACTCTTTTCCAAATAGTGTTGTAAGTATTCAGTTGCAGGATTTGTTGTGCATTGCTCTTGGCTGGACAAGAAATCCAGCTTTGTGAAGTAAGGCATTGTGAGGCTAGAATGACCCACCAGCATCCAACTGGCTTTGTCTATTTGAGGACATGTTTGGCATTTCCATCCTTGTTTTCCAGACAGGGCTGGGCTCAGAGGTTACTAGATTCGGGAGTCCAGAAAGAATGAGAGCAGACCACACACACAGGTCAGATAGTTCCCACTGCCACCACTTGCATTAAAGGAAGTTGACAGAGATCTGGAGTGAAGAACTTCATCCGTAGCTGGGCCACAGTCTGTGTAAATAATACTGGACAAGCTCCATACTTCAGAGTTTATAAAACATTCATGAACATTGCCTCCTCTGAGCCACAAAGTAAGGTAAGTTGGCATGGATTTTGCCCTATTTTACTGAAAAGGAAACTAATTGCATGGCCATCTGTTAAAAGTTATCCTTCCAACTACAGGGAGCAAGGTATAGCTCCAAGGTGTGGTTGAGGGTATTGCTGCATTCTGAAATCCATCACTGCATTTGAGTAGAGGTCTTATTTCCCATGCTTCTGCTCCCTGGTCACAGCAGGGTTATAAAGGCAGCTCATTCTCTGGAGATCTGATAACTTAAGTGCTCCCCAATATCTTTGCTGAACTTAAATTCATAGTATAGGAGGCCTCCCCACTATTGTTCTGGTAGGCTTTTCCCAAGAGCCCGAAAGCATACTTTTTCTTACATATTTGCCACTTTGGAATATGGAGCTAAATTCATTTGAGGCCCTGTGGACCTTAAGAGAAATTGATATCATGAGCTTAAAGAATGAAGATGATACAGATTTAGGATCATGTGCAGAAATAATATTTTCATTTTCCAAATCTATATTAAAGTAGGGGAAACATCTAGAGTACCTGGTTTTGTTCCATGAAGCCATCTATCCCCATCATGTGAGAAATTCTTCTCTCTCCTTAATGTCCCAGGACCCTACCCCAGTCCTTAGCTCTGATGCAAAGCCTCATTCTGCCCCAACAAATGGAGCAAATGGAGAAATTATAGAATTTCTCCATAAATATAATTCTTCCTATATATGTAATTAAATATTATTTTATTTCTTCTACGAATCTGATATTAATTTCGTTCAACCAGTCCCCAACCAAAGGGGTGGAGGAATTCTCCCTTGTGCCCCAACAACTGCAATCTAACATAATTCTGGTCCTCCCTGGTGGCCTACGGGATAAGTCTCAGTGCTATCACCCCGATGGCCTGAGTTTCATTCCCAGCCTGGAAGATGACCCACATGGTGCAGTAGACCTCTCCTATCTTCACCCCTCAGCGGTATATTTCAGTTGATCTGCCTGTCCTGCTGCCCACTCTGTCTCTGGTGAATCCTCTCACCCCCTGCACCTCTGACCTATACCCCAATAATTTTATGAAAAAAAAAAAAAAAGCCAAAAAACACATACTTCTCCTTAACCCTCTGCATCATAGTCTAGTTCCTTCCTGTTTTCTCTTAGCACATTTCCTAGAAGTTTAGTACTGTTTGGCATTAAACATAAATCTAAGGATTCCAAGTAGTTCTTCTAGTCAGTGCATTATATCTTTCTTTTCACAATTATGTGCTTGTGTCTAACACACAAATTATTTTATCTTATTAAAAATGTAACTGTGTTGAGACATTTTATGGGGGTGGAGTGGGGAATAAGATCAAAAATGGGGGGAGGAGACAGAAAAGCACTGGACTATGGTGATGGCACATGGGTGATTTGTTGACGGGAAGTCCATGGGGATTACAACTGAGATAGGAAAAGGCACAAAATAATGTAAAAATAAACTATTATATTATTTTTAAAATGTTACTGTGTCTTATTAAATTATGTAAACTTTTAAGATACAGTTTCACAAAGCTTTCTGTTCAGCTTATCTATAGACTTCAAGCTTTCTCTTGTTGTTGTTCTTTGTTTAATAATTTGTCTTTTATCATTTTCCATATCCACTTTTCACTGTCTTTAATACTGGCCTGGAGTTTGCAACTTCACTTGCCATCTACAGTTTCAAGAATTTATGTCAGAAGAAAATTTGCCAGGAACCTGTATGCTCTGACTGGGGATATCAAAAACTCACAGATGCCAGTCTAAGGAGGAAGTCTGTTGAAATCATATCACCAGAAAAAAAAAAGAATCATATCACCAGAATAATGGGGATATTGTAAATTGTGAGCGGGACAGCATTTAACATAATGTGGGGTGAGGGAGAGAAACTGACAGGCCCTTACTTCTACTGAATAGGTTCTTCCTGGTACTGGCTGGCAGGCATTCTCAGGACACCACTGGGAGTTCATTCTTAATGAACAGTGTGTTTTTTCAGAACAATTAGAACTTTCTTCCTAAAGTGCACTTGGCAGACAAAGAAAGCAGAAACTCTTCATGGGTCAATATTCTGGGAGGGATTGACCCAGAAGTAAGATGCGAAAACAGGGCAGCTAAGTAAGACTGGTAAAGAGGCTTTCGAAGCAACCTGAATTAACTGTTTGGGTGGATGCCACCTTCATAGGCAGCTGACCAGAGCATTAGAACGCTTGCCTTCTGCTCTTGTGTCCCTAGGAAGACAGGAAGTGTGGGGAGAGGAAAATGAAAGTGAGGCCAGTGGAAAATGCAAGCCTGAGCCCTTTTTTTTTTTAACTTGGTGAAAAAATGAAGAGTATCTTCAAGGAATTGTAGGCACACTGGTGGTTAGTGGGAATTGGTGCCTACATGTACGAGCAAATATTGAGAGAGGGAAGGATCAATATTACTTTGCCCCTTTACATTGTCAGAATCTTCAAGACACTAGCTATTTTGGGCTTTTAGGAACAAAGGTCATGAGGGCCCACCCTGCTAGCGCAACAGGTTGAAGTGCAGCACTCTGAAGTGAGCCCCTGTCACCTCAGCACAAGTTCAATCCCTGGCCAGGGGGCCCACTCAGCAGTGTACTTCATCCATCTGCCTGTTCTACTCTCCACTCTGTCTCTGGTGAATCCTCTCACTGCCCCTGCCCCTCTGGCTTGTTCCCCAGTTCTGTATGCATAAATAAGTAAATCTTTCAAAAAGAAAAAAAAAGAACAAGGATTATGAACTTTCTCTCTGTCATGTTCCAGTGGTGCCTTGTAGAGAGCTGCCTGCACAGTGTCATGAATTCTGTGTCATGGAAAAGGACTTTTTGGCTCCCTGCCAACATGTGATGCGCTGAATGGTTTGTATACCTCAAAGTTCCTCATCTCACCTCCAACATTTCCTGCATGCATTCTGAGGAGTCCACCTACCTATTCCTGTTCTAAGCCCCCCAAGCCTTGAGAGAACCAGGGTAAAACTGAAACATTTCCCCTGACAAAAACTCATCTGGCCTGTAAGGAAAGAATCAAAAGAGAGTGGGGAAAAAAAACAGTGGTTTCTGGATTAGAAGAGGGTTGGGGATCTATATCCACATTCTTGCCTCCTCTCAGGGAGACAGAGCTGGACTTGGAAGGGGGCACAGAGCAAGGGTTCCCAAGCCCAGTCTACATCGAAGTACCAGGTCTCATAGTCATTCGTTTGGATGATGAACTATTGTGGTGAGAAGTGGGTGTAGGCCGAGGCACAAGATGAAAGAATTCACTAGAGACAGAGTGGAGATCAGAAGGGTCAGGTTTATCGAAATATACTGCTAACTAAGGGAAGGCAAGTCAGGAGGGATCTCCTGGGCCCATCCCCGCACTTGATGAAGCCTAAAGTTTGTTGTTGCTAATAGTCAAGGCTGGGTTAACCTCTGGCCACTAGCCTTTTTGCTCAAAGACCCCTGAGAATCAGTTGTAAACAAAACATAGGGGTGAGAGGTGGATGCAGGAGAAGGTGTAGGAAAGGACCTGAAGGCAAAATGTTCATTCTGAAGATTGAAGATTGTGCCTGCAAACCCAAGAGAAAGATTCTCACACACACACACACAAGAAAAGAAAAGAAAAGAAAAGAAAAGAAAAGAAAAGAAAAGAAAAGAAAAGAAAAGAAAAGAAAAGAAAAGAAAAGAAAAGAAAAGAAAAGAAAAGAAAAGAAAAGAAAAGAAAAGAAAAGAAAGAAAGGGGAGGCACTCAGGAGGCGTCTATCATTTTTTGATGACAGAATTATGGCTGATTTATATCTAGTCCTACCTATTCAGAGATTTGGTGAGGAGCTGCTAAGTCTCAGGGACTCCTGTGGCTGTTTGGAGATTATAGGTTAGGAATTCTCAAAGGTAGGCCAGACTGACACAAGAAAGTGTGGCATAAAGCTAATGATGACAGTTTACTAACCATGTATCCTGCAGGAGTCCCTCCTATATTATCAGTTTCAAGAGTTCTTTGATACTTTAGGATAGTCTACATAGACTATCATGTTGTCTATGAACAAAAATAGTTCTATTTCTTCCATTCCAATATTATGCCTTCTATATCCTTTTCTTATTGCATTAATTAGATCACCCAATGGAAATGTTGAAAAGGAGTAAGAGTGAAACGGGCGAGCTTTGCCCTATCCATGATGTGAGTGGTACAGATTCAAGTTTCTCACAGTAAGTATTTCTCTCTTAGACTTTCCATTTACAAAAGTAGAAATGTTTAGCAAACATTTTCAAACATCATACAAAATGTATTAAAATATAAACATTTTCAAATATTGTAAGAAATGTATTTGAAATTCAGGCTCATCAAACATTGCAAATATTGTAAAATATATAACATGTAAAATGGAAGATTTTTACAATCCCTGACTGACTGCTCCAGATTGCAATTGACAATTATTTGTTACTTCTCTCAAGATGGCATGCTTTATGATTCTGAAGCAGACTGTGTCTGAAAACACAATATCTTTGACCAAATAAATTACACTACAAACAGATTTCTTGGCAGTTTGAGGTATATGCACCAAGCTGAGAGTGTGTTTGTGTATAAAAGAAACAAATAACATAAAAGTGATGAAATTGTCTGTATTCCCTGTCTGAGAAATGTTTTACACTTATTTCTACCTTTCATAGGAAATGGTGTTATGAATTAAGAAGCCAGATCACTTATTTATATTTACTTTATAACATGAATATGTTAAAATTAAATTCAGTCATAAAACACACTGATCAAAATCATAAAATAAATAAATATATAAATAACTAAAAAATCTAGTTACATGTTTTTTTCCCTGGTTGAGTGGTTATAATTCCTTTGAGAGAGAGATTCAACTAGAGTCATTGCTGAGACAGGAGCTAAGTGGGTAAGTTGGTAAACAGCCAATGGGACATGTATTTGCAGAAGATAGATATACTAGACAGGTATATTAACAGAAAAAATTATGGGAATGCTATTATCCAGAAAATCAACAATGCTTATTTCTTGATGACAGAATTATGTCTGATTATTATTATTTTATTCATGTTTAAAATTTTCTTCAATAAACAGTCTATATTTTACATATTATTTTTCTAATCAAACAAAATGCTTTTTTTTGACATTAGAGATTATAGTGTTCATTGACCAAAAACAAATGATACTTCAATAAAGGAAATTATATTTATCTCCAGTATCCTCTTTCTCCCAAAACCTCTTTCATATCCCAAACATTCATCAAAATGACTTCTTTAGGCCCTCCCTGGTGGCGCAGCGGGTTAAAGCACTGCACTGAGAAACTAAAGCCACTTCCGCATGAGTTCAATCCCCGCCTGCCCCGGAGGTGACCACATGGCGTGGCAGACCTCTCCTGACCCGCCCGCTGCTCCCCTCAGCAGTGTACTTCATCAATCTGCCTGTTCTGCTCCCCGCTCTGTCTCTGGTGAATCCTCTCACCCTCCGCATCTCTGGCCTGTACCCTAGTTCTGTATGAATAAATAAATAAATCTTAAAAAAAAAAAATGACTTCTTTAGAGTTTCTATTCAATTCTGAGAGGATTATTTTCAGAAACAGAAAGCTTTTAAGAGGGGTAGGGTGCAAAGAAGAAAACAATCAACAAATATGATATATAATATTGTCTACTTAATTCAGCTCTATGTGACCTCAGTATATGTGGATTTAGCTATTTGTCTTTCTTTTCAAAATTATATGTGACCTATAAGGCCAGCTTGAAATTTCTTAAATAGTAGGGAGGGGAGGTGTTTTGGGTCCATACACTATTACTTTCTTGTTTGTTATAGCAAATCAGAAGTTTAGTTATCAATATGAATGGGAGACTGTAGCTAGCTATCTATATTTTGGTTTCAGAAAAATGGCCTTCTCTTTCTTTTTCTTGGGCAACAGATGAGAGAGTGTTTTAACTTGCTAAAACTAAAGTTTTGGATGGAACCTTGCAAAAGTGATGTTGCTTTCAGGGATGCCATCCCCATAGGCAATAATTTTTGTTACATGCTTTTCTAATTTTCAGTTCTGACATTTGAGTCTCATAAAAGATTAATTTTTCAATAAAGATCTATTAAAATGACACCAAGATTACTCAATACCAGTGGGGTCCTAAATTTTAAAGACTGAATTCTTGATGAATTTCATAATATTTACATTAGAGCAGTTCTACCTATTCACTGAACTTTGGAAATCATGATAGATGTTTCTCTGTCTTTACCTAAAGCTTTATGGATTTTTCTTCAATGAAGTATTAAGTCAAATGTGGAGCTTGTGTGTGAGTCAAATGTGTGAACCAATTAATTTTTTACTATGGATGAAAAAAACTGATATTGACCTTATGGGTTTCACTTTACAGCTTAGAGTAGAGAAGTTCTACAAACTGGTTGATAAAGTCATATTTTTCCTAACTTGCTCAGCTGTTTGTTGAGTCATTAAGGACTGCTAATATTAGCTCTGTAATTAGCTGATTTAGGTAGAGAATCTTTCCCAAATCCAACTCCAGAACTGGAAAGTAGAAGTAGCCTATGAATATAATAGTTGTTATTCCTGAAGCTTTTGGCTTCTGTATCTTTACAAAATTCAAATACTTAAAAAATAAAACCAGAGGGCCCTCACCGGCAGCACAATGGTTAGGACGCAGACATAGCACTGCAAACTAGCAGCAGCCACTTCAGTGCAAGTTCGATCCCCCGCCCAGAGGTGATCCCACATGGTGAGGCAGATCTCTCCTGTCTTACCCGCTGCTCCCCTCAGCAGTGTACTTCGTCGATCTGCCTGTTCTGCTCCCCACTCTGTCTCTGGTGAATCCTCTCACCCTCCACATCTCTGGCCTGTACCCAGTTCTATATGAATAAATAAATAAATCTTTAAAAAAAATGTAGAATTTTCTTTTACATTTGTGTTTTAAAGATTTATTTATACATTCATACAGGGCTGAGGTACAGGTCAGAGGTGGAGGAATGGTGAGAGGATTCAGCAGAGACAGAGTGGGGAACAGAACAGGCAGATCAATGAAGTACACTGCTGAGGGGAGCAGCAGGAGAGATAGGAGAGGTCTGCCGTGCCATGTGGGTCACCTGTCAGGATGGGGATCAAACTTGCACTGAAGTGGCTGCAGCTCGCTTGCAGTGCTGCACCTTAACCCACTGTGCCACCAGGGAGAGAGTTTTTAAGCTATGTTGTTAGTCCACAAAACATTTCATTGTTTTTTTCAGGAAGGGCCTGTGTCACTCTAATAGAATGTGTCAGGAGGAGCAGGATTGATGTGTGGGTGAAATCTTTCCTTCCTGATTTTGAGTGATTTTTCTCTTGGTTCCCAGGAGAAGGGATTCCTTGATGTTGACATACATTAGCCACCTTGATAGAGACACTTTGTGATGTGGAAAAAATTTCAATTTGTTTTTTATGTCCTCTTTTTCCTCTCCACCTTCAGTACAGGCTTGACGCCCTTAAGCTCAGAAAAACCTGTTGAGACCTGACTTCAAAGTAGTGCTTAGCAGTATGTCAGGCAAACCGGACTTTCCTGTATTACCAGGAACCCCTCAAAGAAGCAGCAGTTCCTTTTTTTAGGCTGGATCTTCAAAAAGATAAACCTATCTTTTTCATTTCACTTCCTGAAAGTCAGGTTTGGTTTGTGAAAAGTTGTTAAACAACATGCTAAATGTGACGTGTCAAACTTCACTCTAAATTTGCCTTGTTTAGAGCTTTTGATGAAGACTTCATTGGTTTTTATAGAAGCTTTCTGATCTGGGTAGTCCATTAAGTGGGAAGTTTGTTATATACTAATAATGATTACCCACCAATATCCTGCCTGAAATACCATGATAATTTGTGAAAAGTATCTTTAATAAGGCTAGGTAGAATTTGGCTTAGGAAACAAAATTCTAGAGTTCATAGTCATTTGGGCTTTGTAGCTCCAAAATAAAATGATCTGACTGTGATTCTCAGTTCTCAAGGTAGATCAAAAAAGGGATAAAATACTAACCAGAGGCCCAGTGTCCTTTGTGGGCAAGTAGGTAGTATCTAGGAAATGCTTGTGTGTGTGTCTAGGACAGACTTTCTTAATTTCCTAACCCTTCTTCCTCATCCATCAAGATTAATTCCCCAATTCCTTTCTGTTCACCTTTTCTGTTTTCTCCTCTTTCTTACTACCTCATTCCCTCTTGCTCTTTATTCCAACATTCACTCAACAAGCTTTATGGAGGACATTTAGACATGTATTCTAATAAACAGCATGATATATAGCTCAAAGAACTTTGACTTCAAAAGTTGTAATCAGTTCTTAGGGTTGTTAGTTCTTGCGATTGGGAATTTAGTTCTTTTTTTTTTTAGTGTTGGAGATAGTCAATAGGCATGCGTTATGAGTTTCATAGATATATTTTATAATAGGCTATTATTTATGCAAAAATGGTTCAATGAAACAAACTTTTTGTCGAGCTGTGTTTCATATACATTGTGGAGAGGTCATCTCAGGTTTTGGTTTCAACTTTGCTCCCGGTCATGCCTTAGTACATAACTTGGCTACATTGCTCCTTACAAGAGTCTTACACTGACTGCAGTATTTTAGAATGTAGTTCTTGGATTATCTACATCAGAATGACTTGGACTATTTTTTCTAAAGATTTATTTATTTATGCATACATTACTGGGGTGGGTACAGGCCGGAAGTGCAGGGGCTGTGAGAGGATTCACCGGAGACAGAATGGGGAGCAGAACAGGCAGACTGAAGAAGTACACTGCTGGGGAGCAGAGGGCAGGTCAGGAGAGGTCTGCTGCACCATGTGGGTCACCTCCGGGCCAGGGATTGAACTCATGCTGAAGTGGCTTTGGCTTTAGCTTCTTCTTCTTTATTTTTTTTTAAAAAGATTTATCTATGCATATAGAATTGGGGTACAGGCCAGAGGTGCAGGGGTGGTGAGAGGATTCACCAGAGAGAAAGTGGGGAGCAGAACAGGCCGACTGTCAAAGTACACTGCTGAGGGGAGCAGTGGGCGGGTCAGGAAAGGTCTGCCATGCCATATGGATCACCTCGCGGCAGGGACTGAACTCATGCTGAAGTGACTTTAGCTTCTCAGTGCTGTGCTTTAACCCACTGTGCCACCAGGGAGGGCCCTGAACTATTTTTTTAATCCTATGATTCAATGAGTTGAATCTTTCCGGATGAGGCCCCACAATCTGTCATAAGCACTGAATCACACAGAGATCACTGGATAGTTATCAGTAGACTCTTCCTACTGGAAAAGTCTATTTACATCACCTGAATTTTTAACTAGTTCTATTTTTCCAGTAATAAAAGTTTCAATCAAAGTAGGTTGAGTATCTATTACTTGCCTGGCAGTTTGCTGGAGATCTTTACCTGTTTTATTTATTTATTTTTAAAGATTTATTTATGCATATAAAAACTGGGGTTTGGGGCAAGGGGTGAGAAAATTCACCAGAGACAGAGTAGGGAGCAAAGCAGGCAGATCTGCTGACATATACTGCTGAGGGGAGCAGCAATTGAGACAGGAGAAGTTAGCTGCCCCATGGGAGTCAGCTCCCTGGCTGGGAATTGAACTCAAGCTGCAGTGGCTGGCAATAGTTGAGTAGTACTGAGACTTTAACCCCTGTGCCACCAGGGAGGTCTTACATGTTTTATTTTTCTGCACAATAATCTTTGAGATAAGTAGTAGTAGTATCATCATAGTATAGCATGCATAGATACAAAGTTTGGATTCTGTGCATACTTCCAGTTAGAGAGTAAGTAAGTTTTGGAGCTACAACAAAGGGCCTGGTTATTAGTTATAGATACTATTTTGTATATTTGAAAGTTGCTAACAGAGGATATTTGGAAAGTTTTTGTCATAAAAACATTCAAATTATAACTATATGAGGTGATGGATGTGTTAACTAATCTTGTAGTAATTATTTTTTCAATATGTTATATATAAATAAGTGACTAGTGTTATAAAAAAAATCACTAACTTGTACATCTTAAACTTATACAATGTTGATTATATCTCAGTAAAACCGGGAAAGGAAAATTGGGACTCTGATTTCAAAATCAATGTTTTCTCCTCACAATATTTTGCTACAGTAAGAAACTACAAAGCTTATTGTAGTGGATAAGCTCTAGTGCAATACCTTATCCACAAAGATTGCTATTTAAGAACTGTTTCTTCACCATTGTGGGAAATCAATTGGCTATAAATAATGAAAAGTAAGCTATAATTGTGACTTAATTTAATAACTGCATTCACTTAGAGAATAAAAATATATATATGGTGACAGCTGAAGATCATTT